GAATATATTTTAAAAATAGGCATAAAGAATTATATACTTCTTATGTTTACACATAAGTCAAAAAATCTCACCATATACAACCTTGAAGCAGGACAGTCCCACAATATTCCTTTTCCTGTCTTTTGCTTTCATTCACCACCCCCTTCTTTTTGAACAACCATCTACCCAAGAGATTTCATAGCAGCAACTGGCATGTCATGAAAAGCAGCCTGTATTCAGAAGACCAGAATGGCAGGCACACCAAACATGAAACTACTATTACAGTTTACCATCTGCAGTGCAATTGCTTAGTTTGCCTGTATCAGTATATATGGTTAGTCAGGGTGAGGATCTTTCCAATTATCTGCTATATTGTTTTGTGTTTTTAGTAATATTTATCATGAGTACAGACTATGTAAGTGACAAGGAACTGTGTAGATGAGGGGACAGTGTAGTGATAACTCTACCCTGTGCCCGCCACACATAACCCATTTGTGAACAACTAATCACAAGCCTGATGTATAGAAAGCATAAAATTATATCAAGCCATTCTGACATGCATCTTGAGTACTCAGTAAGAGTAGTAAGCACTTGCACTACACCACGTAGGGATGCTTTAGTTTCACAAAAAAAGGCCAAAATTTATGCTTGTGTTGCTCCTTTTTAAAAGTTAGAATAAAAATTTAAAATCTTTTCTTACTTATATACAATATATATACTATATATTTTAAACAAGGCTAATACCATTTCTCTTTCTTCACTATAAAACAAAATGTAACTCTAAATTTTGTACACATGAACTCTACATGGTGCAACATATGCAATAAGTGTAGAAAAGAACATAGATTTAGGAGACAGGTCAACCTTTGGGAAATAAGGAGGCCCTTAGCTTCCAGGCCTTCCAACAATCCTGATGTACCCAAGCAAAGGAGATATGACTCCTTTCCTGGGCTTCTGTTTCTCCTCAGTACACAGATGATAGGAAGATCTAAATGAAGTCTTTCCACTCAGAAGATTTTGCACGGTTTTTGTTAATCATATATGACAGTAGGTTATATTAATTTCTACCATTATTACAGATGGCTGATTTTATGTTGATCCTTGTAGGTGCTCTAATTATATATTTGTATATACAGATACAAAATGATCCTTTACTTGTATCTCCTTTTTTAGTTTAGTTTTGCAGAAGATGGGTATTCCATTGCCATTTAAATATTGTAAGTGCATGAATTCAAAAAAGAATCCAATAGAGTATAGTAATCCATAACAGTACTGGGTTATCCACAGGACTGGCAAAGTCAGAAGTTGTTGACTTGAGCCTTTTATAGCTCAGCCTATTATGGTGTTATTTTTATACCTCGTT